TAGGCGACCCCTGTGAAAGGGTCGTTCGACCGCCAAAGGGGTCGGAACCCACAAATTGGTCAGACCAATTTGAGGTAAACACGGACCTAGAAGGAGGTGGCTGTATTCCTGGATCAATCTTCTTTCCTACTGTAGCTCTCTGTTATTGTAATAAACTCACTGTTTCTTCCTTTCATAAATCCTTTAAAATTGGTGATTTTTTGTATTTAATGAACTGTCTTTCTAGTTTCTAACCGAACTATCAAACCGCTGCTTTATTAATATGCAAAACCTCTTTAAATCTCCAGAAAAAATGAGATTATTTAGATAAGGAAAGATATATAAGGAAATATTTTATAGATGTGAGGGTGGGTTTTTAGGTGTAGGCAGTGTGGCATGGTGGTTAAGAACACAAGCTCTGGAGCTCAAATCTCAACTCAACTACTGCATGCTATGTGTCCAGACCAAGTTCTTCTAGGTGGCCCTCAGTTTACTCCTCTATGAATAGATATAAAAATAGTGCCTACTTTATAATGTTGTTTTCAAATAAAGAGTGAATATGTGTAGAGTACTTAGACTATCACACATTAAATACCACATAATTATTTAATGTTTTGCAGCAGCTCACTTAAAATATAGAAAATTTAGGAAAACCCACAACTGTCTTCAAATATCTAAAAGGCTCTCCTGTCAAAGAAGCATAGGGCACACTCTTGGGAGCCCTAAAAATGATGAATACAAGTTTGAGCAGACAGGCATTGTTCTAAAATTGCTCATGGAAGAAATAAGGCTTCTTTGGGAGTTATGGGTATTTTATCACTAGATTCAAAAAGATCTGGATATGAAACTTTTATAAGCATTATAACATTCTCTTTTTACAGTGAATTTTTAAAATTAATAAGCTTACTACTGGGAGGGATATGTGCCCTGGGCACTCTCCACATTCTTGCTCAGTTTGTTAGACTGCAAGGTACATAGTCATATAGTGACTAAGTAGTTGACAGACACCATAGCACTCACCCCCAGAGGAGGGCACTGGCTCGTCTGCTGCTTGGTACAATGTTTGCTGCTTGCTCAAAAACTACTCGAGCCCAGCCGGCATGGCTCAATGGTTGAGCATTCACCTTTGAACCAGGAGATCACGGTTTGATTCCTGGTCAAGGCATATGCCCAGGTTGCAGGCTTAATCCAAGTGTGAGGCATGCAGGAGGCAGCTGATCAATGATTCTCTCTCATCATTGATGTTTCTTTCTAACTCCCTCTCCCTCTCCCTTCCTCTCTGAAATCAATAAAAGTATATATATTTTTTAAAAGTACTTGACTCTTTGCTAGATTTCTCTCCTACAACACAACACCCTGCTTGCATAGGCATCCATTTAAGTCCACTGGTGTTGCCCACTCCTGTCCTTTATGGGACAGGGGGCAAGGAGAATTTGGGCAAACATGAAGCTCTGGATACTGTGTTTGCTGTGAGTAATAAAGTTTTCTGTCTTTGATCCAGGGATCTCTTGTCTTCTGTACCACCCATGAGAGAGTAGCAAGCTAACCTGTCAGAGCTTGTAAGTAGAGTAAAATCCCAAAAACATCACAGTTCTGGACACATATAAATAGCAGGTAACTTTATTGCCTGCTATTACCATAGTCATTGTGCTCAGCCCTTTATGTGTTTTATGTTAGCAATCCCTTACTACAAGCCTTTTTTACAGATTGGTTTTATGGAATGCTTTTATAACTTGCCCAAGGTGGCACAGCCGGACATCGAACTGTGTAGAATTTCTGACTCAAAAACGTATGCTTGTTGCAGCTATACCAGACCATCATGCTGCCTCTTTTTAATATATGTCCCCCACACCTACTTGAAAATATCTTCATTGACTGAAACACTTTAAAGCATCATCATGCAGAGATTAAAGGAAATAAAACTGATTTCACATTTCTGTAACATGTTCTTTAGCTATCTCTGCTTTTCCTCTAGGCCTGACTCTAATGTGGTCATTTATGAGTCTGTCTTTACTCATGCATTCCTAGATTACAATAGAGTTGGATGACAAAGCATAGAGATGGGCTGCAAAACAGTGAGACATTGTGGTTACTGAAAGAAGCCCTTCAAATTCCTCTCTTCCTCCCTATCAAGGTTAAGATACCAAATTGTTTATATTTCTATATACTAACAATCAGCAACTGGAAACTGAAATTTAAAGATACATTTACAATGGCATAAAAACATGGAATACATCAGAATAAGTGTGACAAATTACTTGTAAGATTTTAATGCCACAAAACCATAAAATACTGGTGATAGAAATTAATGAAGATCAACATAAATGGAGAAGTATACATGTGCTTAGGAATGACAAAATTTAACATTGTTAACATGTAAATTTTCCCCAAATTGATTTATCAAATGAATGCAAAGCTAATCAAAGTCCCAACAGGCATGTTTATAAAAACTGACAAATAGATTCTAAAATTTATGTAAGAATGCTAATAACCACAAATATTCAAAATAATTTTTATAAAGGAAAAGTTGGAGACTCACATTACCTGATTTTAAGCATTACTCTGAAGGTTCATTAATCAAAACAGTATAATATTGGTGTAAGAATAGACTATTATATCAATGAAATGCAATGGATTGTCCTAAAATAGACCCACACATGTATGGTCAATTGATTTCTAACAAAGATGTTCAGGTAATTGGTTGGGGAAAGATGCTCTTTTCAGAAATGATACTGGAACATTTGAACAGCCATATGAAAAAAAAGAACCACAACTCATATATAGCACCATATATAAAAAGTCACTCGCAATGAATAATAGACCTAAATGTAAAACATAAAAATCTAAAATTTTTGGAAGAAAACCTGGGAGAAATCCATGTTCATCTTGGGTTCAGAATAGAATTCTTAAATAAGATATAAGAATTACAGACCATAAGAGAAAAAAATTCTTTAAAACACACTATTAAAAATTGAAGACAGCCCAGCCAGTATTGCTCAGTGGTTGAGCTTCTACCTATAAACCAGGAGGTCACGTTTTGCATCCTATTTAGGGCACATGCTTGGGTTGCAGGCTCGGTCTCCAGTGGGTGGCATGCAGGAGGCAGGCAATCACTGATTCTCTCTCATCATTGATGTTTCTATTTCTCTCTCTCTCTCATTTCCTCTCTGAAATCACTAACAAAATATTTTTACAAAAATGAAGACAAGACACAGTCTGGGAGAAAATATTTGCCAAGTATGTATATGATAAGGGAATTGAATCCAAATATATAAACTCAAGAACTTGACAACAAAGAACCAGTGAAAAATAGTCAAAAGACTTGAACATGCACTTTACCAAAGAAGACATACTTATGTCAAATAAGCACATTGAAATGCAAAGTAAAACCACAGTGAAAAGCCACTAACACACTTACTAGAATTGATTTTTAAAAAGTATTGGTAATTGTATACCTGAAATCTATGTAATTTTATTATCCAATGTCATTTCAATAAATTCAATAAGAAAAAAAATATTGGCAATGATGTGAAGCAAGTGAAACTCCAACATATTGCTGGGAAGTGCCAAATGGTACAGCCACTTTGGAAACTGTGTGGTTTTTCCTAGATATTTAACCAAGATAAATGAAAGCATATGTCTGCACACATTCCTGTATATGGATGTGTATAGAAGCTCCACTCACATTGACAAAAACTGGACACAACCCAAATCTTTGGTGAATGGTTAGCCAAAGGGTAGTACATCCTGCAGTAGAATACTACTCAGCAATAAAAAACAAAGCTATTGCTATATGCAGCAATGTGAATCTCATGAGTTAGCCAAAGTGTAGTACATCCTGCAGTAGAATACTACTCAGCAATAAAAAACAAAGCTATTGCTATATGCAGCAACATGAGTCTCAAAAACATTGTTAGTTAAATGTAGTCATACACAAAAGTCTACATACTCTGACCGCTTTCATATGACATTTTGGAAAGGGCGACAGTAAGTATCAGTGGTTGCAAGGGCCAGGAGGCAAAGGAGGATAATCGACTCTGAAGGGTGATCACAAAGAGACACAGGGGAGTGATAGAAATTCTATGTATTGCTGATTAGGTTGGTCACACCATTAAATGTATATATACAATTCAAAACAGATTGATTGTAACTCTACAATGTGTGAGTTTTACTATATGTAAATATAACTCAAGAAATTGGAATTTTTAAAAAGCCAAAATAGGTGTACTGCGCTTCAATTAGAACCGCAACTACTATTGTAGACTACATGAAATAATTAGGTTTACATATATTGCACCTGATTAACTATATATGTATTTCTGCTTGTATGATAACATTTAGGAAAATATATTTTAAAATCTAAATATAAAAATGTTATAATGAAAATTCAACTTTTAGATGTGTTTACTTTCTATGAACATTACAGCATTTCTTTGGGCAATGCAGTCTAGAGCATAACAAAACCATGAAGTAACTTTTATTTTATTTTTTGGCTAGATTGAGCTGTATAGAAATAATAAAACATTATTTTGTTAATATTGCAATCTTATGCACATCACTTCTCTCTTAGTACCCTATTGTTATTTAGTTACAAACTCTATTGCCCACAATGCTATATTTTAAATCCTATATGTACAGCATTTTAATTAATTGTATAGTTTTGCCTTTACTTGTTTATTATTCAGTTTCACATTGAAATATCTTTCCTAGTTTAGTCAGGTGTGTCAACCTTAGCTTTTAAATTGCTTATTGATTTATCTATTATAGTCATACATACATTTGTAAATATATTCTTCTCAAGTTGAACATATTTTTCTTTTCAATGTGAAATTGAATGAACTTCAGAGCTAGTAGAAAGGCTTACAGATTTCCCATTGTCTTTTTTTTCCTACAGTATTGAGAAACTGTTTCCGTCTTGAATAAAACAACTATCTATAATTGAGATGTCCTGTTGTGGTAATTTCTGATTTATATAGCCATGTTGGAAGAAGACTAATTCTAGTATTGATTATTTCCTGTAGCAGTCCCCTGGTGTGGCCAATTGCCAAGCAAGACAGTTTGTTGGAAAAAGACATTATGTTTAAAGATGCAACAAAAGGCCTATGCAAGAAACAGTCCCAGGACAGCTCTCCTGAAAGCGCCACTGTGAATGGCCCCGCCAAGCCTGAGCAGGTAATTACACCCCATGTGCGTCTGCTAGTATTGTGTCCTGTTATGTCCCAAAACAAACACCCACTGATTTCCATTCAAAGAAACTTTAGTGAAAGCATAGGTTAGTATTTTAAAATTTTTATTTATGAAATGTTGTTGTGTTTTACTGTCCATTAACAAACATACTGCTATTGTGTTTTAGAAAGATTTGAATTTACTGTCGTTTTAAAAAATTAATTCTCACCAGAGGATATTTTTTTCCTTTTCATTGATTTTTTTAGAGAGAATGGAAGGGAGGGAGAGAGACAGAGACAGAGAAGCATGGATGTGAAAGAGACACATCGATTGGTTGCCTCCCACACACGCTTTGGGGCTGGGGATTGAGCCTGAAATCGAGGTACGTGCCCTTGACTGGAATCAAACACGTGACCCTTTAGTCCAGGGGTGGGCAAACTTTTTGACTCGAGGGCCACAATGGGTTCTTAAACTGGACCGGAGGCCGGAACAAAAGCATGGATGGAGTGTTTGTGTGAACTAATATAAATTCAAAGTAAACATCATTACATAAAAGGGTACGGTCTTTTTTTTTTTTTTAGTTTTATTCATTTCAAACGGGCCGGATCCGGCCTGCGGGCCATAGTTTGCCCACGGCTGCTTTAGTCCTTGGGCCAACGCTCTAACCACTGAGAAAAACCAGCTAGGACTTGAATTTACAGTTTGGACTTATTTATCAGGATTGCAAGCTCAGCCAATATATTAATTCCTGAATATTCCTAGTTCTTTGATTGGTCATCATTTTAATAATTGTTTCCTTCAAATAGCCAAATATTATCCACAATAAGACAAACCAATCAGAATCATTTATTCTTAAAAGTAACTGTGATGTTGTATTGTGTATATATCTATGTGCATATGTGCATATTCCAGTGCCCGAGTTATGTGAGATCATTTTGATAAGCTTGGAGTTACAAAATTTAATGTATTTGATGTTATCATTTTCATAGAAATAAATGATTTGTATATGCGTTGTGTTTTATAAGTGGTAGAGTATTTTATAAATGGTAGAATAATCCTTGAAATGTCTTGTTTCAATGTATCTAATTATGAATATTTTAAAGGTATTTTAACCTTTCTAAAGACTTTTCAAATTTTCTTCATCTCATTAATTTCTATTTTAAAATAACTAAAACAGCAAAACATTGGAAATACTTTTGAATTTTATTAGGCATATTCATCTTCTCAAGCTACCATAACATAAAACCACAAACTGGGTGGCTTAAACAGCACTAAATCCAGGTGCTGGCTGAGCCTGTTTTTGGAGAAAGCCCTCTTCCTGGATTGCAGATGGCTGCTTTGTCACTGTGTCCTCAGATGGTGGAGATGAGAGAGAGAGAGAGAGAGAGAGAGAGAGAGAGAGAGAGAGAGAGAGAGACTCTCTGGCATCTCTTATAATGATACTAACCCTGTGGGATCAGGGTCCCACCTAACCCATACCCTCATTTAACTTTTATTATCTCCTAAAACCCTGTCTCCACATGCAGTCACATTGGCAGCAAGAGCCTCGACATATGAATTGTGGGGAACACAATGCAGTCCATAGCAGTAGGCAAATTGAACGTTAGGAAAATTTAAGGCCAAGTTGTTTCTTAACTTTCTTAAGGGTCTTATGAGCTTCCTGTAACTTTAGGTACATATAACTAAGTAAAAACATTTACTTTGAAAAGGCTACATATATTCTGATTCCACTACTTGACATTCTAGAAAAGAGAAAACTATGGAGACAGTAAAATGGTCCGTGGTTGCCAGCAGTTGTGTGGAGGAGGAATGACTAGGAGGAGCACAGAGGGTTTTTAGGGCAGAGAAACTACTGCCTACGATACTATAGTTGTGGCTACATGTCATTACTCATTTTTAAAAACCCACACAATATACAACACCCAGAGTAAGCCCTGATGTAAGCTAGGGATATTGGGTGATTATGATGTATCATTTGCTTCATCTATAGTAACAAATGCTGCACTCAGTGGGGATGTTGATAACTGGGCAGACTATGTGTGTCGGGCCAGAGGTATATGGGAAATCTCTATACTTTCCTCTCAATTTTGCAGTGGATCTAAAACTGTTCTAAAAAACTAAGGTCTTTAAAATAAATGAAAAGACATTCACACCGTAATGTCACATATAATCTTTTTATACTTAATAAGCAGAATGACTTTTCTTTTTTAATATAAGCTCTTTGTAATTGCATCCTAGACATGAAAAGCGGTTGTAACCATATTCTGTTTATTTGGTACTAAAGAGGGAATAGCTTATTCAGGTTTTAGGTTTGTATATTATCTATTTAATATTCACCCATGTCTTCCACTGTGGGCATTACGTTGTCATATGTTCTTGCCATGAGGTGCATCGGTGATTCTTTCCAGAGGATGAACAGATGAAGAATCCTGCCTGGATCATACATTTATATCCCATAGGAGGGATTTAGAAAAGACCTGTTAAAGCAGTAACATTCTGATTAACACTTTAAAGAGAAATACATAATGTAGAAAAAAATTTTGAATTGAAACAAAGGCCACAGCGTCTCTCCTTCCAGGATTTTGAAAAATGTAGGTCATGTCAAATGGTAACTGTATAAATGAATAGTCAAGGCTTGATTTAAATTTTTAAAATATATATTTTTATTGACTTCAGAGAGGAAGGAAATAGAGAGAGAGAGATAGAAACATCAAGATCAGACAGAATCATTGATAGGCTGCCTCCTAGGTGCCCAGCACTGGGAATTGAGCCTGCAACCCGGGCATGTGCCCTGACTGAGAATTGAACTGTGACCTCCTGGTTCATAGGTCTTCACTCAGCCACTGAGCCGTGCAGGCTGGGCTGATTTAACTTTTTATGGTTCTGATAATCACCAACATTAACAATTGCTATTATAACATCTGTGAGAATGTAGAATTTTTCTAAAGTAGCTTTAAAATTTGTAAGACATTTTTCCTTCTTTTTCAGTTTTGTTTTGTTATCCCCTCCTCTCTCATGCCCCGTCCTCTTCTCTTCTATTTTTAGTTTCCTACTTTCCTACAGTCTTTTCTCCCATCTTTCCTTTGAGAATAGTTGAGGCCTAAAATTAGGTCAAATTTTTATTCCATTTAGTGAAGGCATGTTATCCTGGGAGAAAAGAGAGAGGATGATGGAGTCATACAGATTTGTTCTGGTTTAGGGCTGCTGCTGGAACTCTCAACTATGGAAATTCTTTAACCTCAGTAAGTCCCGTCTGTGCAATGGATACATAACACTGACCTTATATGGCTGTTAGAAAGATGACAAAAGATTAAGGCTGTAAGGTGACAGCATTTTGCCAAGAGTAAAATAAAAACTCAGCAAGATGTATTCATTATTTTATTATTATTTGTATAGACTGTCTATTAGGTTTGGCTAGAGTGGTTGAATCCTCTGTTCACTAATTTATCTGCTCTTGATTTATGTAAATCAAGTCAACATATCAACCAGGTTTTATTTTCAGTGTAAATATAGGTTTTTTTTTAGAATATAATAATACAAAATAATACTGTATATTGGTTAACATTTCAAAGCTGAAAAATGCTTTCACTTGCATTATTTTAACCTTCAAAATACCACTATGAGCAAGTTATTACACACTTTTAATACTTATACTTAAATTTCAAACTGAATTTAAAGTGACCAAACTTAAACTCAAGAAGCAAAAGCAAATGACCTAGAACCACCTGTTTCTTTTACTCTGCGGCCAGGGCTCTTCTGAGGACAGCGCAGCTCTGGCTCCTCTTCTCTCTGGCGTGCTGCTCGCTTCTGTGAGTAGGAGAGAGAGTTTGCATTCCGTGGCTGCATGGGCAGGATAGGGGTTTCAAAGATTGGAGGGAATTCTCTTTCTAGAGTCCACAGGTACACCAACATCCACAGACACAAAAATATAAATCCTTAGCCAAACAAGGCACAGTGAGTGTAAGGACCTAACACATTTCACTACGAAACATCTAACAGAATAACAAAGGCAAGGAAAAGGCCGTTTACAGGTAAACGATGTGCATGCATCGTAATGGGCTTCAGCCCTGGGAGATTCAGTACAAAGTGTTATCAGATTAATGCCCTTTTCCCTGTTATGACCATCCTAGTCACTTAGGTTTTTTTCTTTTTTGTTATCATTATTTTCTTTTTTCTCCTCATTCATGCACACTTGGTTCTTTCCTCCTAATCTGCCTTCCCAACAATCTTGATGCCCTTATCCCATTTGTCAAACCATCTCTTCTGTCCACGGGTTTTCTAGTTCCTGAGTATGTTCTACTAACTTCCTGCAGAGCAAAATTACCAGCCACCGAACAGCACAGCAAAGTCGACAGCGCTCAGAGCAGTGTTGACAAGTGGAGACAGGGAATCAGGGAATTAAAATATTTTCCAATTTACATTTCCTTTGGATCTCGAAACATTTCTGAAAGTGTACCCTGAATTTTGTCCACTTGGTGTTCTAGATCTCTGCTTTTGGAAATATATGTGGAGAGATATATAATGGTTAGTTTCTATGTCTTCAGAAGAACCAAGATGGTGAATTCTAGAGAGGATGTTATTTTTTTTACCTATTTATTCCATCTATTTTTTGACTATGGTAATACTTATTTGGCAGACATTGATAGTGTACACTATTGAGTTTACAACTATAACATAAAAATATTTACAGACATGTTTTTCTTCTTTCTACTTGTTATCAGCTGCCACAGAACTTTTGAACTCTTTATAAAAAATGTATCTTTTTGACAACCTTGCTTAAGATTGATTATCAAAGCTTCCTTCCTAATCATTTTGGTATCTTGGTATGATAAATAGAAGGAATTCTTCCCTTGATCTAATGTAACACTGTATTTGTCACAGTTCGTTACTATAAACAGACAAGGGAGTCTTCACATTTTTATTGTCCGCCTAGTATATTCTCTAACTCATGCAACAGCTGTGCCACTGAAGATGAAAAACCCTCAAGAATACCAGGGAGATGTCTGCAATAGCTCCTCTAGGCTTGTCAGAACAAATGGGGAACTTCTGTTGGTGCTAGTCATGCTGTTCCTGAATATGCATGCAGAGATTTGCATTGAGCTCATTAAAGCTGTGGTTATCAGAGGAGTATTATCTCAGTGTAAATTATTACTTCCAGAGATAAACAAATCTTGCTCTTGATTTTTCTTCTTTTTATTATTTCTTTGGGAGTTAAATATGAATGTTAACTTGTGTGAGACTTTTGTCTTATCATTGCATTGTTCAAAGTTGTTGCAGACATATTTTTGGCTTATCTCTTGTTATGCATGGATATGTATATATTTGTGCATTAATTTTGTGTGTGTATGTATGCATGCACCGGGTGAAAGAGGTGAAGGGATTAAGAAGTATAGATTGGTAATTACAAAATAGTCATGGGGATGTAAAGTACAGCATAGGAAATACAGTCAATAATGTTGTAACAATTATGTATGGTGCCCATTGGATACTGGAAATATCAGGGGGGATACTTTATAAAGTATATGATTGTCTAACCACTACGCTGTACACCTGAAACTAATACAAAATAATATTGAATGTAAAATGTGTTTAAATTTTTTTTAGAAAGTTAAAAAAAAAGATCTCACAGGAAGATATACCCCTGGGATTTAAACATCATTCTCCCAGATGAATACAAACAATTGATGTCTTAGGCTTAGATGAACTTGAAGTTTTCAGTATTCCAGCACTCAGATCAGTGTGTAAGATTTTGACCTGAATTAGCATGACCATTGAAGAAGCAGAAAGGAAAACTACCGAGGGGATAGGCAGAGGCAGTTATCACTGCTTGATTTTCATGCTTCTCTAAGAACTGTTAGTCTCAGCAGCACTTTGGGCCTGTGACTCTTCAAAGTGGAACTAAATATATAAAGTTAAAAAAAACATATTACACAATCCCCGAATTGATTTTGACAACCCAGAAAGTATTAGGAGAGCTGAGACATGATGACTTCTATTCAGCAACAAGTATCAGTTTTTATACTGTTCTTGAACTATGTAAGTCCATATTTCTGACACTATCAAAGACTCAAAGCTGTGCTTCTAACCTCAAGTTAAATGTCTAATTTTAGTAAGACTTTGTTATACTAGTATGTCCTTTGTTAATTCTGAAAGATATTTGAGACGTTTTATTATTTAAATCCTACAAAAAACAAAATAAACTGAAGGTGTTGGCTGAGTGTGTGCATGTTGTGGGAGAGGAGGAGGCTTGTTCCTGACATTCTGAGGTCTGGAATATTTTACAAATTAATTTTAAATAAATAAGCATGTTCTTATTGGATTATCGTGTTTGCCACTTATACAAATGGTTGTCTTTCCAATGCAAGAGAGCCTGCTGCCATGACTCCCTTCCAACTGGAAGATATAACAATCCACTCTTCTGAGTATGTGAAATTCTCAGTAAAGAATTTGGGTTTCTATTATTAATGCATTAGGATTAACAGTCTTGGATAACCATGATCTGAATTTAAGAACTCATGGGAAAGATTGCATTTTTGAAAATAACCACTCATGTCAGAGAAAGAGCCCTAAATTTAGCTTTTAAAAATGTGTAATATTTTTTACTCTATAAACATTTAGCTGAACAGTAATATTTAGGGATCAACTTATTTAGTGATGGTACATCCAATAGTTAAATGTATAATACAAATATAAAATGTAAATACAAATATGCATTCTAATTATAAAAATAAATTTACTGTTATTACAAATTAACTATGGCATTCTGCCTGTGTGGCTCAATTGGTTGTGCATCATCCCATGAACCAAGAGGTCACCAGATCGATTTCCAGTGGGAGCACATACCCTGGTTTCAAGCTCAATCCTCAGTATGGGGCGTGCAGGAGGTAGCTGATCAATGTTTCTCTCTCAAATTACTAAAAACATATTTTAAAAATATTAGCTATGGGCACCAAAATATTAGCTATGAACTCATAGGAATGTTAATAAGATTATTCTTGTTCTTTTGTTCCTCAGTGTTTCACATGAGAAGAACAAAGTTGTCACATTATATCTAATATTTGCCTTGCAGAGCATATCCTGTGTATATAAAGTTAAAAATTGGCCAGTTTTAAATTATAAAGGCTATATTTTAATCTATTTAAATAATACAAATTTATCTTTGTAATTTTTAATCTTGTCTAATTTTTAAACTGTCATTCTATATTACATTGAATAGGAAAGCATTTTTTCTTGACAGAATTATCTTAATCTCGAAGCTACTTTAATATTAAAAGTATTGTAAAGCAGAATAAAAATCACAAGCCAAAATTCTAGAGTTTACTTTAAAAATCTGGCCTTCTCATAGATGTATGCAGAAACTAAATTCCAGGCAGATCGCTTCCATGCCAACAACAGTAATTTGAGAGAGAAGTTTTGCTTTAGCTTTGGAAACACTGCAAATACGTGAGCTTTTTTTCAGCTGCTTGTCTCACAAAGGACTTAGCACAGTTTAGAGCTGTCTAAATTGTAAGTAGGGACTATGAAGGATCAACCTGCTGAAATGATTTTGATAGACTTAATGTCTTTGAAGGATGTAATCTGACATTCGATGTGTGTTTGTGTGTGTGTGTGTGTGTGAATGCACTCCTGGGTATGCAACAGAAATTCTCATCTGAATGTATTTTTCTATGACTGTTGAATTTTTTTGTTTCTTATAAGTGAGCCATTTCATCTTTTAATAACAGTTTCAAACTCATGTGGTTTTTAAACTTTTGACATGTAATTGAAATAGAACATCCAACTGTGAAGAAAGTTGATTGCAAAGCAATTAGAATTGATCTTTCTTATTTTTTCTCCCAGGTCAAGCTAATGCCTCCTGCTCCAAATGATGACCTAGCAACACTCAGTGAGCTCAACGATGGCAGCCTGCTTTATGAAATTCAAAAGCGCTTTGGGAACAATCAGATATACGTAAGTGCCTTTGAAATTGCCTTTTGCACTGCATTTGTCTTGCAGCATATTTTTACTCTTCAGTGCTGCAAATATTACAGGTAATGGATTTATCGTTGCTTCTGGTCATGTGATGGCTGACAGTGGATTTCTCCAGAGCTTAGGGTGATTCTTCTGATGCAATTCTAAGGCAAGTTCAGCAAATTCCAAATTTCAGAGTTGTTAACTGAAAGTTAATATCCTGAGGGTAGACAACTTTCTTGTAATGCTTGCTGTGGAAGATCTTGCTTGAACCATCAGATCTGCTAATCACTTTTGAAAATGTTGTTTGTTTCATTTATTTAATGTAGCCTTCTACATCTGGAAAAGGGAAACTAAAGATGAGAAGTTAATTATGCAAGGAAAACGGCCTCCCTATTTGCATGAAATGATAAGCTATTGTTCCTCTAAATTATCAGGAAATATCTTTGTAAAGTAAATAATGTATACAGGGATATTTGATAATAGGATATAAATATATGGCTCAGATGACAAACAGCATGGAGAATTTATTTGCTGTGGTTCTTCCTTGCTTTATATGTGTGAATTCTACCAATACTAGTAATAATTTAGACACCATGTGATCTCATATCTTAATCTCTTTCTCTCTCTCCTTGATTTTGTTATATTCAACTCAGAGCAATTCAATCAGAATATCTATAGTGAAATCTGATTATTCACACGTCTGCTATCTCTTTTTGACAACATCCTTTTTTTCTAGTCTGCTGAGAAATTGATTAAGTAATTTTCATGGAAATATGAAGTCTGTGATTCCTTTATAAGTCATCAATTGTCAGGTGCTGATTAGCTTATGAAAATTCAATGCAGCATTTTAATGCTTGGATAAATTGCCTGCCACTGTAAATACACTTAGAATTAAATACCTCTTTTAAAATTAATGGAATTGAGTCATTGGCATAAAGTGGAGAAAACCGATTATGTTGGTCTGTTATTACTCTGTTACTTGTGTAATATTTTTATTCCATTTTATTCTCCTTCCCTATCATTGTGTTGATTCTTGTTTTTAGCTTCTTAGTAATATCAGATGACCACTGCTCAAATTCTTTCTTTTTTTTTTTCTTTTCTATAAACCTTTAAGAATGCATTGAAACCTCAATGGCTGAATTTCTTTTAAGAAATGTCTTTATTGCCCTTGCTGTTTTGGCTTAGTGGATAGAGTGTCAGCCTGTAGACCAGCGGTTCTCAACCTGTGGGTCATGACCCCTTTGGCGGTTGAATGACCTTTTCACAGGGGTCACCTAAGACCATCGGAAAACACATATATAATTACATATTGTTTTTGTGATTAATCACTATGCTTTAATTATGTTCAATTTGTAACAATGAAATTGGGGGTCACCACAACATGAGGAACTATATTAAAGGGTTGCAGCATTAGGAAGGTTGAGAACCACTGCTGTAGACTGAAGGTTCCTGGGTTTGATTCCAGTCAAGGGCACATGCCCGGGTTGAGGGCTCGATCCTCAATGTGGGGAGTGCAGGAGGCAGCCAATCAATGATTCTTTGTCATCATTGATGTTTCTATCTCTCCCTCTCCCTTCTTTTCTGAAATCAATAAAAATATATTTTTTAAAAAGAGGCTTGACCAAGCATGTTCTAATCTTAAATAACAAATACTTCCTACCTGTTTATCTGAGTCATGGCTCTAATTCCTCCACACAGTGGACCATCTTCATAGATACTCTCTGCTCTCTGGAAAATCAGAATTAATGTCCCCTGATTTGCTAAAGTTCACATAAAATATAAATTTGCCACTGTGTGAGGCATGGGTTTCCTATTTTCTGTACTTGAAATATTGAAGAGCTAAATTGTCTAGGAACAATTTTGTGATGAGCGTTCTTTGTTATGGTTTGAATTCACCCTTATGGATAGACAAGCAATTTAAACATTATTGATTGAATGGTAATAAGTGATTCTCAAAGTGTATCCTATGCACCATTGGATACATGGACCTTTATTAGCAATCTTCAATGAGAGTAAGCATTTAGAAGCTCATAGCAATTTGATGGTTTAATTTCCTTCTGTTGAATCTAATAAGAATCAAGGTTTTTATTTTGTATGTCTTTGTCTTTTTCAATTTTATTTGTCCAGGAATTCATCTTTATTATGTTTTACAAAAGTATTGGTCCATGATGAATTGGAAATAAAAACAAGTGTTTCTTTCCCACAAATATAAAGGCACTAGTTTAATAGATGTCTCAAAATTCAAATATTCAAATTCCAGAGTCTGATCTTGACACACCCTCCTAACATGTCCCTTCTCTAGCTTCTCGCAGCACAATTAATGGCATCCCCTTTCTTCCAGCTTTCAGGCCAAAGTGCTGTAAGAGTATTAATGTGCTTTTCTTCCATATCCCATATCTGATTTTACTGCAAATATCATCAGCACTTCCTTCAAAATATGCACAGAACATGACTTCTACTTCTGCCACTGGCCCATCAGAGCCAAGATAAAATATTTCATCTGAATTAATTGCTTGACAAGGATTTTCATCCTTTTTTTGGCTATAGTCTGATTTGTTATATAAGATGATCTTTCAAAATAATCTGTAAATTGCTCTTTTAACTAAGTGTACAGCATTTCATTTAGCTATCAAATTGGGAAGTTTCCATACAGTCTCTAGCAGTAGGAAGTTCCCACATCATCAAACAGAAAATGAATTGCAGAGGATGAGACATCTGCTTGCTGGGAAATGCATAGAGTAAAGGCATTGCCTTTCCCAAACAATTATTGTCAACAGTCACAGAGAGAATAGAAGATGCAATCACATCTCTTCATGGATGGCTGATAAGTATGCAAGCGATACTCTCTTCACAAACACACTAGTGGAACTTGAGACTCATAAAGAAAAGAAACCCTACAAAACAAAAATAAATTCTGTAACATCTCATTAGCCAAGTCTAGATCCGTTCCTACGGCTCTATGTATTGTGATTTTCGCCGTAAGTCGGAACCCACCTACATAAGCACCTACATCACTCACATGGAGCACATATACAGCAGTAATGAAGTGAAACAGTAAAAAAAAAATTAAAAGAAAGATAACAATTCCTGACTGTTACTTGTGGTAAATAAATAATAAAAAACATAAAGCTCATATGTACATATGTGGAAATGACGGAACTTTTTTTTTTATAAATAAATGGGAGATGGCGACATAACCATGAAACGACGTACATTGAGTTTGACGTAACCCAAGGACTGTCTGTATTCTCTTTTGTGTTCTTCATCTTTTATTTATCATTTTGTTTCTTGTATTTATTTATACTGTTACTTGTAACACTACTTATCCACTTTTATTCCTATACAATAAACTATTATGTGATTATATCCTAATTTATTAATTGACTCTACAGTTGAGGAACCTTTGAGTCACTTTCACTTTTTGGTTATTATCTATATACTAGGGGCTAAGTGCATGAATTTGTGCACCTTGAAAGGAACTGTGAATTGTGAGGCTGCAGTGGGCACAGGGGCAGGTCTCGGCCCATCTTCTGCGCCCCTGCCCGGCCCCTCCTGCCGTGGCCACCGGTCCCCTGTCTGCCTGCAGCCCCGCTCCTGCCGCTGCTCCCACATGCTGACAGCGCTGGCCTCGCTCACACCTGTTGAGGGCGCAGAGCGATTGGGGCCGGTGCCAGCAGCAAGTGCGAGCGGGGCTGGCGCAGCAATGGCTGCTGCCCGATCCCCTCTCAGGAGCAGGGGAGGTGGAGAATCCCTCAGGGGCAATCTGGGCCAGCAGCCACTGCTTGCACCCACTGACAGCACCGAGTGATCGGGGCTGGCACCGGGTGCTGGCAGCGGGTGTGAGTGGCGGCTCCGGCACAGGCAGTGGGTGCGAATGGGGCTGGCACCAGCAGGTGCAAGCACCGGGTGGGACTGCAGCATGTGGGAGCAAAGAATTTTGAGTAACCACCAGAGGCTTGCCCTGATGACAGTGACCAGCACCCTGCCTTGATCTGGCACCTCCGCTCACCTGCTCCACCATCCAGCCATGGCCGACATCCACCAAATTCCGTTCTGTGCTACCTGCTGTGGATGCCCACCATGTTCTGTGCGTGCCCCCTGGTGGTCAGCGCACGTCATAGCGACCGGTTGTTTTGTTGTTCTGCCGTTCAGTCTATTTGCATGTTAGGGTTATATATATGTAAAATTCTAAGTGACTGTTACAACTGGTCGACCAGTTGCTATGATGCACACTGACCACCAGGGGGCAGACACTCAATGCAGGAGCTGCCCCTTGATGGTCAGTGCGCTCCCACAGCCAACCTCCCGTGGCCCCTCCCCTCGCCCCCTAGCCACTCCCCCATTGGCCCTGATGGGGGACCCAGTCTGCCAACCTCCCTCGGCCCCTCCCCCTGTTGGCCAGTCCTCCAAGATAGGATTCAATTGCCGGCCAGGCCGAGGGACCCCACCATGCATGAATTTGTGCACCGGGCCTCTAGTAAATAATACTGTTATAAACTATCTTATGTCTTTTTGGAGGCATGCATAGATAAGTATTTCTGTGGGGCATTTACCTAGAACTGTCTCATTTTTGTATCCAGGAGAAAAAGGTCTCAATATTTTATCATTCAGCACGTTGTTTGTGGTAGTGATGCCATGTGTAGTTACTTTTTATTTGATTAAGAAAGTTCTATTGAATTAATAGGTTTCATAGTTATTGTTTTTAAATCAAAAGTGGGCATTAAATGTCTTTAAAGTTTTTTTTTCAGCATTTAGTGAGACCATCATGTGACTTTTGTTCTTTACTTCTTAGTAATATGAGTTGATCTTCTAATGTGAAGCCTACATTACATTACTAGAATAAAGTTTATTTGGTTGAAATCTATTATCTGTTGAATGCATTATTGCAATTCAGTTTGTCAATATTTTGCTCAGAATTTTTGCATGTATTTTAATGAGAGAGAATAGCCTGTATTTTTTTTCCAATTTACTAGTTATGTTTTTAATATCAAGCTTATGCAGGCCTCTTAAAGTGAAATGTTTTTTCTTCTGTTATTTTCTTGAATTATTTGTATAAGATTTGTTTATTTTTGTACTTCAATGTTGGGAAGAATTCACCAGAGAGAGAAGTCTAAGTTTTCTTTGTGGAAAGGTATTTTATGTATTTCTCTTACAGATGTTTGCTGATTTTATAGGTATCCATTATTAATTTCTGTCTTAATTTTACCATGATCAGAGAATATACTCTGTGTGACTCAAGTCTTTTAAATGTAATGAAACTAGTCTATGCAGTTTCTGGTAACATTATTCAATTGGTCAACTTGCTGATTATTTATTTCAAAAATTTGTCTGCTTATTCATGAGTTACTAAGAAAAAAAACCTGTTAAAATTCCTCACTATCATTGTGAATTCATGTTTTTCTTCTAACAGCTGTTGCTGCTTCAGATATTTTATCCTAGATTTCAATCTCATAGAAATTTAGACTTGCATATCTTCCTGATTGCTTTATTTTATCATTGTGAAATGTCCCTTTTTATCACTGGTACTGGTTCTTACCTTAAAGTATATTTTCTATTAATTGAGTGTTGCTAAACCACCTTTTTTGCTGTTATTGTTTGAATGGATATTTTGCTTCATACTTTAACTTTTAAATGTATTATCCTTTATATGTAAAGTGTTTTCTCTTTAGAGTAGCACACAGTATTTTAATCCAGTTTATAACCTTTTTTTTTTTTTAAAAAAAATTGAGAGTATTTAGTAGCTTTACATTTGATGCAAGTACTGATGTATTTGGGTTTAAATCTATAATTTATTATTTGGTATCTATTTGTTCCATCTGTTTTATGTGCCTTTACATCTCATTACTTGTCCTTTTAGTTAAAGGTATCTTCATTTCCTTTATCAACTTCTCAGTTATGCATTTTATTATTATTCTATAGCAACATAGAACTCATTACTACCCTGTTTACTTCCTCCATTATATTTTGCTATTTGTTTTAATTTTATATTTTTTTATCCAGTCTGGTTCTCATAAAAACACTTTAAGATTAGTTCTCAGAATCTAATTATTTCACCTTTTTTTGTGTGTTCAGTGGAACAAACATATTGGCTTGATTTTATTTGAATTTCACTTGTCTATTTCTTTATTTATAAAGTTAAAACAATTGACAAAATGTTAAGAGCGTATTTTTTACTTATTCTTCATATTGTAGAGTGATTTTTAACTTTAAATGTGCTATTTATATGGGTCAAACACTATTTATATCTTTTTCCTTTAACAGACTTTCATTGGGGACATCCTCTTACTTGTTAACCCATTCAAGGAGCTTCCAATTTATTCCACCATGGTGAGTATAAAATTTAAAATACCATTTAACAGTGTAGAATAATACTCACCAGACAATCCTGTTTGTATCAAATGACCTATTAAGAAGAAAAATCATAACAATAGGTAAAGTCAAAATTTTCAGAAAGTTCTAAATTAAGTTGTTGCATAATGATTCTCTTCTTCATTTTTAATCTTTAACTATTTTGGCATTCAATTATTCATAATACTAATTTTTAATGTTTTTAACATTTTGAGTGATTTTTTTCCATTTTATACGTTGGCAATTTAAGTCTTCTCTGACTTTTTGAAGTCAATTTTCTAGTAATTCATTATTTGTTTTAATATTTTCAAAGAAATCTCTTGACTTTAAATTTTTTTCAAATGTATATTTATTGTCTGTTCAATTGATTTCTTTTTCTTTTTATTATTTCCTTCTTCTTCCTTTGAGTTTAATTTGATAGTTGTTTAAGTTGTAAAGTTCTGTCATTGATTGTTTGCCTTTCTGAATCCGTATTTGAGGCTTTTTATTTTGCTTTCAGCACAACTTTACTAAATTCTACATCTTTGATATTTCACAATTTTATTATTCAGTTAAAGATATCTGTTTCCTATTATGAGTTTTTTCTTTGTTGTTTGAATTTTATAAAAATATAAACTTATTTTTTTCTATTTTCTACATTGCTTCACTTTAATCTACATTCTGGTTAGTAGAATGACTAGGTTAATTCTCTCTTCTATTGTTTTGAAACTACAGTTAAAACCATATTAAAATTGAAACCTCACTTAAAACCATATTAAAATTATCAATATTAAAATTTTTATTTTATACATAGAGATTTCATTTGTCTGATGAAAATTTTGTTTTGCCACCTATTTTCTTAAACATGTTAAAATTTATTTTAAAATATGTCCCAATAACTCTAATAATGATATCATTATTAATCTAGTAGCTCTAATACTAGATAATAGCATCTCTAATCTAATCTAATTATAGTATCTAATGATATCTAGGTGTGTTTGTGTGTGTGTGTGTGTGTGTGTGTGTGTGTGTGTGTGTGTGTATTTGTCAATTGGTTTGCATTACATGGGTGTTATTTACTGACAGTCCTGGAAAATGTTGTTTGAATACTGAACCTTTTATTTATAGAGGCTGGGATGGTATTACCTTCTTCCAAAGAAATTTTGATGTTTTTTTGTCCTAGTGGATAGATAAAGTATAGCAGATGGTCTTGACTCTGGTAGAGTTCTTTTACTTCGTGTTTGCCCTTGTGCATAAGCCAGGCCCCCTTAAAGGTCTCAATTGAGAAATCGGGATGATGTCCACCAAGGCTTTCCTTTGTTACTAAGACCTGAACTTGAAATTGTGTCTTCCTAGCAGTGTTAAACTGCCAAAATCTCTGCTTAACTCTTTAGACACTTACATTTAGTTTCTATGAGGCCTCTGAGCTTTATTCTGCAAAGTGGTAATGTGCTATGAGAAAAAGTTAGGCAGAAGATCCCGTTTGGTTCAGTGCATTTTGATATTCTCTAAGATCTTTATTCCTTAAGTCTTTGCTGCTTTGGTGATCTTCAGAGGCCTCCAATTAGGAGTTTAATTTGTATTTTTATCCAGTTCTATATTATTAGTTGTTCATGGCAAGATCATTAGTCTGTTTCCAACTACTTTATTATAGCTACAATAAAATAGGCCATTTCTATTTTTATTGCATTGGTGTCAGAAGATCATTTGCCTTCAAATATCTAAGTTTGGTTAAAATTGCATTATTTTTAATTCTGTAATATATATATTATTTAGCTGTATTGTTCCTGGTGTATGTTATAGTGTCACATTTAATTGTAGAGCGAACAAGAATCTTATGGTGAGACAAAAGCGAGTTTTAAGTAATTCAGTTATATAATTTAGATGCTTCCATGGATCTAGAAGTAAAATTCTAAGTCTCAGGGAAAATTTACATAAATTTTGTAATATGGCATTATCTGTCATATTATATTGTATTTTGTAATGGAATAAATCTGATATTTTGTGGTTTGTTTTTTGGGTCTCAACACTATGGCAGTTTTATAGCTTTAAATAATATGTGGTATTTGCAGTTCTTTCAGAAATACATGCTAGCAGATAAAAGAAGAGAAACATGAAGAGACATATTTCTTTATCAATATAGGAATGAATATAATGCATTGAGATTTTTGCCAGAACACTTCATTAAAATTTTAAATGGCAAATACAATTTATAAATTATGGGTATCATACTCTATATCCATCCATTTCCAGCTGATTCTGATATACTAGTAGGATGTAAGAGGAAAATAAATATATTTTGATAAAATATACACTGATATAAAGTTTACAGTAAAATTTTAACAGGTTATAATGAAACTTTACGGTTCTTGATGCTTTGAAGTTCATGTATATTAGAATCAAATAGTTTGTACTCCCCTTGTATACAAGTAATAACCCATGAAATTATAGATATTAGGTAGAAACAAGGATTTAATTTTTAGGTTGAATTAGTGGGCATCCTGTGTAGCAATATTAGTACCTTGTAATTTAAAATCAGCTATGCATGTACTGAACCATGCTTAAACTATCTCATTGTTCTATGGACGCACAATAGAAAGTTCCATTTGTGTGTGTGTATCTATTGATTATATTTATGTGTATGTTTATTCTTTCACATCATAAATTTAGTTTAGTTTTGTTTCTTCCAGTGTTGATTAGTTTAATAAAAGTAAAAAGAAAATGTTGAGTATGATCACATCTATAAAGATTATACAAACCAGGAGAATGACTTCTATGTTTCATGTTGAAAAATAAAAGACCAGATCTATACCATCTGTGTCTTACTTTTATTTTGTTACCAGTACTATTAACTGTGTTATATTAAGCCTTTGCATAATATTCATTTCTTATCTAGTAGGTCATTAATCATGGGTGTAGAACACCCTTTGTGGCAAACTTCATTTTGAGACTGATGTGAACACATGACAGCAAACAGCCCTGCCCATTAGATGGCTTGCTGCCCTCAGCAATGTTGATCTGATGCTAACAACCACTGGGGAGAAGTGGTGCTGAGGGGGCCAGTAGGCAGACAGTTCTAAATGAAGCGTAATCAACAGGGAAAGGTTAATTATTATGCTGCCTATTTATGCTGAAGACAAGTATCATCACTCATTTTAAGCACGTAAGAGGTAGGGGAGAAGGAGAAAATCGAAAAGTAGGCAGATCTTTCTGAATAGGCTTACAAAAAAAGCAGGCTTATAATCAGGGACAAGAATGCCTTATAAAACCAACAAATATTTCTTTAGTCTATTAAATATAACATGTTGTGTTAGATATTTACAGATGCTGAGTAAGAGTCTCTGTAATTAACTATATAGACATTCTAGAAGCAAAATACAAAATAAACAAATAACTAAAAATAATCACAGACTCCACTTATAGCTGAGGATGGAAAAATACCTGCATTGGAGATGTACACTATTCATTGACATGTTGAAAGGTTAGAATGGATGAAATCTTAGGTTCAGAAGGGTATTACATGGGAAAGAAATGAGACTGGGGCAAATCTTAAAGAATGATTAGGATTCTGATGAGGGGAAACAGAGTTATATTTTGGAGAATTGTTTAGAGCAATTGGAGTTGAAAAATAAAGGCCATTTAGAGAAATGTACAGACCAATTTCATAAATTAAGAAGGTAAAAACGCTAAATAATTAAAAATTTAGGCCTAGATTATAAAGCTAAATTAAAGACTTGGGGTTTTATTTTTCAGAAAATAAAGAACTATTGGGGAAAAATTGGATTTTAAGTGTGTTTGTTTCCATCAGTTTAAGGAGAGGAGATATTTAGGCAAGAAGACTAGTTAGTAGATATTGAAATAATCTAATAATAAGTTTATCAGGGCCTAATATGGGAACTCTAGTAATGGGGAAAAAAGAGCAGGCATTGAGTGAGTCTGCAAAGACAGTAAATAGTATTCAAAGAGTAATTTTATATGGAATGAATAGAAGCAGAGAAGATCAATTGACACAGGTTTTGAATTTGTGAGTCTGGGAGAGTAAGGGTATTGCTAATGAAGAAAGTTAAAGAAAAAGAAAGGAATTCATGAGGAAAAACCAGGTTCAGGGAAATATATTCAGTTTTTGGAGGTTAAATTGAAGTAGTGTTGAAACTCTATTTTGCAGGCAAGATTAGGAATAATTCCTATAGATATTTCATTTTGTGAGATTTCCAGGATTCATGCCATGTTTAAGATTAAGGTAGAAAAATAGTAGAAAATGAAGGAGGATCGGGAGGGGAGAGTGAGGGGCAGGGAACCATCTTTGGTGGCAACTAAAGAACTAGGTCAAATGCATTGGCAAAGTTAGTAATCAGAAAACCAATGAACATGTGAATGTCATGGGGACAAATGCTTGAGCAGTGAATATTCATTCGTCTCTCACACATCAATTTTAGACCTTTCTTGGATATTTCTCATTATTATTTTTCCTATGGAGTCCACAAACCAAGGATGCATCACCTTGAAATCTCAACATGCAAAATGACTACACCATTCCGGATAAAAGACCTGGGGATAATTTTTCAAGATTACATTTTTGACTACACAGTCTTTTGTCATCCTCTAAGTGCCAGTGAGATTAAGCTTTCCCGATATGAAATATGGCATCTTATATGGGATGCCAGGTTAGGACTTCACTTCATTTTAGATTCTGTTTGCTGTTGGTCTCCTGATATTCCCATTGCCAGACATGTTGGGTTTGGCAAGTAGCTAGAGTGGCTGAGCAGAGTTTTGTAGCTATGGAGTCGCAGGGCTGGGAAAGAATGCCAGTAGCTGGCATTGTTTAGGGTTTGTTATTACATGGTAGGCCTGCTACATAGGGCTTTACATACATCATCACATTTCATCAAAAGGCAACCCAATCAGTGTAAGAATAATTCTTTACACTTTGCAGATGAATAAACTGATACTTAAAGAGATTAAATATACTTTCTAAAGTTTTCTCATGAGTGGCAGAGACA